GCTGGATTATTAGATGCAGATCCATCTCCCATGTTTCCTCCTTGGAATTGCTGTAACATGCTGACCAAATGGTGATATTGTTCTTGAGACAAAACACTTGCAGGACCACTCTGAGTACTAGATTCACCCTTCTCTAGCAGATCTCCATGAACATTTGCTGCAGTACCTTTACGTTTGTGTCCTTTATACTGGGAAGAATTGGAGTTTTGATTCTGGTTGTATTGACTCCTTGGTGGATAGTTATTGTAAGGCTGATTGTTAGGTCCTGAATTGGCATTTGGTCTGCTAGGATATCCATGGAGCTTGTAGCATCTATCCTTTGTGTGTCCAACTCTTTTACAATGATCACAGAAAGGCCTTGTTCTTGTATTACTATTGGCATAGTTGGTTTGAAAACCTCGCACACCTGAAGGACTTCCAGAACTTCGTGAAGAACTGGAGCTAACATTCAAAGAAGAGGAAGATTCTGCAGAAAATTGATTGTTTGGTTTGAACTCTCTTTGTTTTTCTTCCTGAACCAAGAGAGCAAAAGCTTGTCCCATAGAAGGTAAAGGATTCATCATTAGCATGTTTCCTCGAATGATGGTATAAACCTCATTAAGGCCCATGAGAAACTGAATGAGTCGTCTGTCTTGTTCAGCCTTATGCATTGTCTGTTTAGCACCACATGTACAAGTACAACTACAAATATTCTTAGCACCTAGTGTGGTGAGCTCTTCCCAGAGTTTCTTCATTCTCGTGTAGTATGAAGTAATGTCTAGAACACCTTGATTGAGATCATTAATTTCCTTTTGGATTTGATACAGCTTAGCTCCATTGGTCTGATCATATCGATCCTGTAATTCACTCCACAACTCCAATGAATCAAACACGTATTCTACACTATCTGCAATGTCCTTGCTCAAGGAATTCAGTATCCAAGAGGTAACCATGGCATCACACCTTTCCCATTGACGATAATCAGGAGACTGTGGACTTGGTTTCATGCATTCTCCATTGATGAACCCTAATTTGTTCTTCACTGAAATTGAACGTAACACACTTCTCTTCCATGATCGAAACCCAGCACCATCAAAAGGTACAGGAACTAGCACTGAACCTGCACTATCAGAGGGGTGAATGTATAGTGGACTTCCAGCATCAAAGTTAATTGGAGCTGGAACAGAGGATGACGGAACAGAGGATGAAGATCCAGAAACATGATTCACAACTTCAACCATTGTGCAAATTGAAAAAAAAACGAAATCGAAGATGAACAATTAGCAGAGATGAACTCGAGCAGAAAGTAACCTTTAATGCTCTGATACCATGACAAATTTAGCTCACAAAGCTTGAGCAAAAATCACCATTGATGACTGCCATTAGAGAAGGAAGAAGAAGGAGAGAAATTGTTCTGTTATGTATTGAAAAAATGTGTGTGTTGTAACTGAACTACACTGCTATTTATATATACAAACAGATGATTCTAGAATAATTCAGTTAGGCCTTTTTCTCTGACTACCACTTAATCATAAACACAAAGTAAGTAACTAACTTTGTGAAATGAGTAACTAATAACTAATTCTAGGAAAAGGAGTTCTCAATAATATTCTCTATCCATATATATAATAAAAAATCCTATTGCATACATATAAGAGATTGCTTTTCAATTTCGACTTATATATGTATGTTTTCATTTGACAGTCATAAAGATTTTTGTTACTATCCGATTTCATTCTTACATTATAACTAACTAATATTACATTATTTGTTTGCTAAAATTATCAAATAATCTTTTGTTTAAATATGATAGCTAGAACTATTAAACATGGCAATTTGATACACTATTATCTTATTATTGTCTGTTGAGTACATAAATCTAATGGAAGAATTAAAACGCATTGAAACGTATATTTTTATATCTACAAGATATAGAACTACAAAAAGTGAAAAAAAAAATCATCACAAAAGACTTTTTGTGACGATCTAATTAAGTCTCTATACATATTATATATACGTGGTGACCTTTCGTATACAATACTATACTATCTTGGGTAGATTTCAGTAATTAGATCCTCAAAATTAGATGCCGGAATGAAATTCTTTGTGATTAGATCGATATTTCCTAATCTAGAATAATCTTTAAAAGACGCTGGTTGATTTGGCTCTGATGGAATAACAGAATCAGTACTGAGAAAATGAGATATCACCGTAGTTGTAGGTCTTCCATCTAAATCAATTTGAACACATAACAATCCAATATGTATACATCTCATGATTTTCGATATTGAATTTGAGTCATCAATGAGTGTTGGATCAACAAGTTCCATTGCTCTACCATCTTTCCACAACTTCCATGCCTATAAATATCAACATTTATTGTAATATAAATCTTAACAAATTAGGATAAAAATATTAAAATTACTTTATGCATAAACATAATGTGATTAAATTAAATTAACATGCACTTACATGGACAAGAAGGTCATCAAATTTATCTTCTTTATTATTTCTTCTTTTTCCCACTTATTATCTCCAAAAGAAGCACACCAAAACTAAATACATCTGATTTCACTGAGAATTGACCATGCATTGCATATTCCGGGGACATGTAGCCGCTGACAACAAAGAATTATAAATCACAATAATTAATATTTTTCTATATTATAACGAATCGATTCGAAAAAAAAAAATTAACAATCAACACTTACTATGTTCCAACAATTATGTTAGTGCTTCCTTCAATTTGGTCAACTCCAAATATTCTAGCCATGCCAAAATCTGAAATTTTAGGGTTCATATCTTTGTCTAACAAAATATTGCTTGCTTTGAGATCACGATGTATGATTCGAGGACGAGAATCTTCATGAAGATAAATTAATCCTCGTACTATTCCTTTAATAATCTTGTCACGTACTGACCAATCCAATGTTGTTTGTTTCTTCATATCTTAATCATATCACGCGAGACATTGAAATTAGAGAAATAATGTATATAACAATCTAACTAAATAGAAAAGTGAGACGTATAAGCAAACATACCGAATAAGAAATAGTCGAGGCTTTTGTTGGAAACGAACTCGTAGATGAGTATTTTTTCTTCTCGTTCCAAGCAAAAACCTAAGAGTCTCACTAAATTTCTATGTTGAAGCTTAGCAACAAGTACAACTTCATTCTTAAATTCTTGAGCACCTTGACTTGACCTTCTTGATAACCTCTTCACCGCTATCTCTTGTCCATTACCAAGTACACCCTGATGATCGTGTAAAATACATTTACGTTGTCAATATATATAACTTATATCTAAAAAATTATTATATAGTCTAATTTGAACATGTGTTACCTTATAGACATCACCAAATCCACCTACACCAATTTTATTTTCCATAGAAAAATAGTTAGTGGCAGCTTCAATTGTACTAAAGTCATATTGCAATGATTCAGCTGTTAAAATCTCACTAAGATCAACTGCAACACACACATATATATAAATATAAAATTAATTTTAAAAAAGAAGTTAGTTAATTAAGGAATAAATGGACTTGAATTGTATTAAATAATTGGGATTTAACTACCAATATTCATCTCCTTTAGAGTTTTATTATTTCTTTTCATCCTTCTTCTCCTTAGTAGCAAATGAAAGACTCCAATTGATAGTAGAAACAAAAGAATTACAATGGCAACCACTACATAAATGATTAGTTGCTCTTTAGTATTTGAGATTCCGTCATGCCCTGCAGTGTCAAAGTCAGAAAATTCGTTAATGATATTTAAGTTTTGATATGTACATAAGAAATATAATTTTTTAATATACTTCATATAATTTTTTGACGAAAAATATCGAGGCTACACCATTTAGGAATTTGAATTAATTATATTAATGCTTTCTATTTAATTTTTGATGTGATATTTACAAACACCATATTATTATCAGGGGTCAAATAATAAATATGGATTCATCTTAATATTATTTGTTGATATTAAAGTGACATATGGCTGGAATATAGTTGAAGAAAGTATTATATTAATTAATAGAATGTTATGTATACCTTTTTGAGGTAAATACTTTTTTTTTGGGTCAGTATCAATGGGACATAAATCCATAATAGCACAAATCGACTTGTACCAAAATAGTAATAACTAATAAGTTAAGATAAAAACACACTTAAAATCTTTTTGAATACTTTTCATTTCGTCATTAGTATGCTTGCATATTTGTGGGGGAAATTTAAGATAAAAATTTATCATACACTAATGGTGACACAAATCTAGAACAAATTAAAGTCGGTATTGTACTGGTATTTGGTCAAAATATTATTTTTTCTGTCTCACTTTATATGACTCGCTTTTTTTTTTTGGTCAAACTCAAAAAAAAAAAACAAATAAAGAGATATATTTTCATATTAAATAACAATTTAACTTTAAAATGGTTATTTAACCTTTGATGAAAGGATTTATACTCAGACAAACATCTATCATTTATTTTAGATCATTAGATTGAAAAATCTTCTTTTTTAAACTCTGTGTCACCTGTGTCAAATCAAACTAACTCATATAAAATGAAACGGAAGGAGTAGTAAAATGTACCTTGATTATGTGGCAAAGTAAGTAGCTTTGATTTATCGTAGAAGAGGTACACTTCATGCCTCATAAAACAACTAGGAAGTTGAACTCTAGCACCTCTACATACATCACAACACTTGTTTAAAACTTTGATGGCATTTTCAAGGCAATTTAGGCAACCTTTAGAAGACATATGAGGAATGCATTGAGCTAAGGCATAAATTGTTGTGTTAACACTGAACTTAGCTTCCCTAATTGCAATTTTCTTGTCTATCGATCGATCATCATTAGCAGCATGAGTCGTTACGTCATCCATAATTTCCCCTAGACTCCGTTTGAACCTTCTTTGTTCATGTTCATCGTCTGTAATTGAATTATTGTTACGTATGACAAAAGGTGTAGATGGATTGTTAATTATGGATGCATAGTTTGGATCGGGGAATATTGATTGATTCGAGTAACGTAACATACAATCGTCCCACCATAATACGGCTGTTTTGCTACCGGGGCATAACAAAATTATGTCTTTAACAGCTCTTGTTACAAAATCTTGACATGTTACACTTAACATATCACCTTGACACATGAAAAGACCGTAAATTCTTTCGAAATTATCGGTACCATCGATGGAGAAATTGTAAAAAAGATGTTTTCTAGAGGCAGTAGAAAGAATTGAAAGTAGCAAACTGAGGTTGGAATTGTAAGAGGTGTTTGTTATATTGTTAGAAGTAGTTTTGTTTGGGCAGTAATGATGGTCATCAAGAGCTAATATTGTGGTAATACTTTGGCTGGTCAAGAAAAGCACAAGATATATTGGGATATTCAAACTAGACATTATGCAAAATTGAACAATTCTCTAGTGTACTTCATTAAGTTGAGAGATGAGGCAAATTTATAGATGATGAGTGAAGGACCTTCCTTTGTCACTCGTCGAGAATGAATGTCTCAATCGTAATCATTCAAATCTCAATAGTTAAGTCTGTTTTCAAATGTCTGAACTTTGAATTATAATCATTCGGATTTTAATTATTAAGTGTGTTGTTTTTCTAAGTTTATAATCACTTACTGGATCGGAATGATTAATATCTATACTCAAGGTTTGATATCATTGAAATATCTCTTTTGAGAATTTATATAAAGACGACACTCCATCTACTTAAATCTATCATAACACCACCTACCATCCATAATCATCATCCTCAACCCAATCACAACCACCAATATCATCAATTATCAAAATTAATCGTCATCATCATTAGACATCAATTGCAATGATCATTTGCACTATCAACTATTATTATATTCACTATCAATTTTTACCACCATTAGTCAATCTTAATATATGGTTAACTGGTACCATCATTTTCCACCGCCATTAGATTTCAGTATTACTAATTATGTATCGTCACCACCAACAACCACAATTAGTTTCTACTTCCAACCGCTATACAATAAAATACTACCAAGAACATGTTAGGGTGTCACACTGATTTTCTGACCTTATCTGAAGTTTATTTTTTTCTTGAAGAAAAATCTAAGTATTACCATATTGAACTTTTTCTAAAGGAAAATATAATTTTCTTCCATATTTGATTTATTTTTTCCTTAGAGGAAAAATTTGGAGATCTATAAATAAAAGATATCTATTCTCATAGCATAACACAATAGCTTTCACAATGTACACGTTTAAGAGTTTAGTTTATGGGGAGATTTATTATCTCAGTAATTTTAGTACTTTTCTCTTATATTAGTTTTCATATAATAATATTATGTTTTTAGTATACGTTTTTGTCCTCCGATTTATCAACCATATAATTTGCAATTGTAATCTACCGAATGACACCCTAATCACCTTCATAACCCACCATAACCACTATCATCAGCCAATGCCATCACAAACAAACATCATCGTTAGTCATCACCACCACCAATTAGTTGACACCTATATATGATGTAAAAAAAAGAAATTATATTAAAGTATATAATTTAAATTGTTGATTGACCAACATGTCAAAGTTTCAACATCAAAGTTCCTCCATGGTCTTAATTAGTGAACAAGAAATTTTCATTCATTTTTTTTTCTAATTTCACTCACTATTCTATACTTCAAATTTGTGTCACATACGATTCATTAAGAGGAAAGTGCTTCCTCACGTGACTTTTTTCATATTCGATAATACTCAAATTTAAAATATTTGATTGAAAAATTAATTCGAAATTTTACCTTTATATCTTAAAAGAAAATTTATCAAGATAACAATTTACTCTTCCTTTTAAATTGAAAATCTCTATGCATTTTTTTTTATAGATTTAACTTAATCCACAAAGAATTAATTGCAGTTTACAATTCTTTTTATTTTATTTATGCATTGCTATATGTACATTATCTATCTTTTAAATAATTTGATCATATAAAAATTCTTAATAAAAAAAAGCAATCTGAACCACAAGATTATGGAATATGTCTTAACCATTCTATCTATTATCAAATACAGATACAGAGTCAGAATTTTAATCTTATAGATTTAAAATTTTATAATGGTGACTTTAAATAGAATTTAATATTCAATAAATTTAATAAATTTGATTTCTTAATATGAATACATTATATGAATCAAAGTTACTGAATTTCAAGAAATTTATTTTCACACGTTTAATTAAACATCTTTCCATTATTGACTATATACAATTCAAACATCAATTATATGATACTTGATATATTTGAGATTCGATCAATTTTGTCACGACTATATTCAACATATATGTGTGAATCTGAAATAACTATACATAAGTCACTTATATTAGTGTGGTCCATTTACTAGTTCCTCCCATTATTGACTATACAATTCATACAAGTCTTTTTCACCTTTAATTTGCTTATCAAAAGAAAAAAGCAATTAGGAGACTAGAAAAAAAAGTAATGAAATAAATACAAGAAACAGAAGCTAAATAAAGTGATTTGAAACATCGAAACTCAATTTTAAATAACCTCTAAATATAATAATTTCTTTTCAAAATAGTCTCTTCAATTTTTATTTTATTTTTTAAAAAAAAACTCTTCTTCGAAACATTATTTTTTTAAGAGCAAGGTGTTAAAAAATTACTCAAGCAAATTGCAAGGTTGGTAAATGTGTCACGACTAAATATCCACCCTCATTTATAATAATAATAATAATAATAATAATAAATAACAAAATATCATACAACAACTTGTTAAAGACCTATAACCAATAAAATATTTATATCATTTTTTATCACCTTTTATATTTTTTTTTTCGAAGGTTCCCTTAAGGGGCTTCAATAGATAAGTCAAAGGAGCATGGAGGGGGTGAAACCTGACCTCCGCATTACAACACTAGGAGTGAGGGACATCCTTACTCTCTAACTTATCAAAATAGAAGGAAAGAAAAAAAGGAGGAGGGTTGCTCCTTGTTACATAAGCTTACAAAAAAATCGAGAATTCATAAACTAGAAGCAACCAAACAAAATTTAACCAGCGTCGAATATGAAGTTTCCCTTCTTCACTCGAATTCTAATGTTGGGCTTGCCAACTACATCATTGTTCAAGGTGGAAGTAACCTTAGAAGGAAGATTTATGGCCTCGGTGAAGAAGGTAGTTGTTTTGCAATGTTCAGCCATATTAGCGAGCAAATCAGCTGTAATATTACTTTCTCTGAAGGTGTGAATGAAAGAGAAGTCACCAAGTGAACTCATGGATTGAATTTGCTTAATATCATCTTTCATATGTCAAGGGGAATCGATCATACCTTTAACCATCTGAATAATCAATAGGGAGTCATATTCAACAGTAACCCTGTGAAAATCATGATCTAAACACCATCTTAGGCCAGTCTTTAGAGCTAGTGCCTCAGCTGAATTATTTGAGCAAAAACCAAAATAGGCACTGAAAGCCATAATCATTTGTCCAGCATGATCCCTAAGTACTCCTCCACCTCCAACACTTCCAGGATTTCCTTTACTACAACCATCCACATTCAATTTTAGCTCATTGTAGTTTGGTCTCTTCCATTTCACCAATTTAATTTCACCTCTTATATTAAATAAAATGTTTGTTAATTATTATTATCAAGATTGTATGGTGAAATTAAGTCACGTCCCTCAATTGCCAATTTTTTCACCATTCCTTTTAAAGAGAAATAATCGCATAACCAACCATCATTAATAATATTACTTTCTATATTAGCCTAGAAACAATTACATTTGAAACTATAAAAAGAAAAATAAATCCCAAAAAAAAAATTAATAAAAATAATCTCTCTTTTTTTTCTCTCTTATTATACCTCCTCCTCCTCCTCCTTCCTTCTTTATTTTTCCGATCGATGACAAAAATATTATTGGATTTTCTTCGAATGTATCGTTAAAAAAACTTGATCATGGAATATTGTTAATATTCCAAATAAATGTCATCGATCTGGAAATTATAGAAGGAAGGAGAGTAATTATAAAATGGAAATTCAGAGGTTAAAAGATTTATTGTTATTGTGGGCAAAAGTGCAAACAAATAGACTAGCCCTCGTGGGTGGAAACCACACCGTAGCCAGGTTTTGTACTCGTTAAAAATTGATAATTTTCTATTATTCTAGCTCACCAACCCTCTTTTTTTTTTTTAATTAGTAAAAAATCGACTTTCTTTTGTGTTTCGAGAGTTTTTTTCCAAACAACCTAGTGTATTTCTGGTGTCTGGTTAGCTTGCATGCACCTTTTTGGGATTCGTGTTACTTTGTGATAACAAACATGAAGTACAAAATGATGAATAACATGTTGCAAGGTTTTTACAACAAGCAACATAGTAAAATAAGAGGTTTATACATAGATGGATTAATGGATTATAATTGGGATACAAAGTTGGTGATTATAAGAATAGACCATTCTTGGGTTTTGAAGTTTATGGCTCGTGCAACAATATTAGCATTGGTAATTGTTTCTTTACCTTGGATTAATACGATAATTGGGTACTTATCGTCGCGATACGAGTCTAATTATGCTTATCAAGTTGATAATGAGATGGTTTATAATCCAATTAAGTTGGAATTTTTGCCTATGATTTTTCAAGATTTGGCTAATGAAAGACTTATAAGAATGGGTGATAGGTCCCTTCTTGTTAGCAATGGGAATGATGAAGAAATTTATAATTCTCAAGTTGTTAAAGATTATAATCCTGATTTGATTTCATTTTCAGATTCCACACAACAAAATAATGTCCCTAATGAGACTTTTGATTTTGTTTTGACCTATGGTTATCCTCAATTATCAAATTTTATTGAAAGAGCCTTGAAAGTTGGTGGTATTCTAGTTGTACCACTAAATGACAATCCTTTGGTTGATGAATTTCCACATCCATCAAATTACAAGATTGTCTATGTTAGAAAATTTGATTCAACTATTATAGCCATGAAGAAAATAAAGAATGCCTCTATCAACTCTTCTACGCGGCGACTTCTTGAAACTAATTCAGAAGAGGTGTCTAGTTCGAGCTCTGGGAACAGAAAGGCTTTTGATAAAGAGCATTTGACTTCTGCTCAGAGTGAATCTGAATTAGTCAGATCAGATGATTTCACAAGTGCGAAAAAGGAAGCACTCAAGAAACTAGAAGATGTACTACTTGAACCACCCAGAGCATCATCACGAAAATCGAGTAGATATCTAAAAAAGACACATTTTTTACCTGATTTAATGGGAGTTTCCCTTGAGAGTTACCCAAGAAGGGTGTTTATTGATGTTGGTTTACAAGAAAAGAATGAAAAATCAAGTGATAATTATCATTCTACTTGGTTTACAAAGCATTATCCTACAAAAAACACAAAATTTGAGATGTTCAAGATTGAGACTATGAATGAAGAATCAAGTGGTAAAGAGATACCATTGAGTAGTATTAACATGTCTGATTGGTTACAAAAAAATGTAAAAGAAAATGAATATGTGGTAATGAAGGCAGAGGCTGATGTGGTTGAAGAAATGGTGAATAATAGAAGTATTAAATTAATTGATGAGCTTTTTTTGGAATGTAAACATCAAGGAATTAAAAAAAGTGATAAGAAAAATAGAAGGGCATATTGGGAATGTTTATCATTGTATGGATTGTTGAGAGATGAAGGTATTGCTGTGCACCAATGGTGGGGTTGATGAATACGACGATAATAATATATTTAGTGTAATGATTTCGAGAAAGTAGGAAATATGCATGTTGTTTCAGATAAACTCTCGATTCAGAAGAAATGATGGGATTAACAAAAAAAAAAAGATAGGTGAGTGAGCATAATAGAATATTGAGGTTTTTTTTATTTTAATTTTTTTATCGGTTTTATGTATATTCACTTGCTAATGTTTGTTGATGTATGTACTATTACTTTTGAGCAAAATAATATGATAATAAGGAGTATATAAAAAGAGATTGTATTAAAAATATTTTCTTTTACTTTCTTTCAATTTTTTTTTCTTTTGGATAAAAATAATTTCTTAAATATGCTTGCCTCTGTCCTTTCCTTTTACAAATATAAAAATTATTAACATGTTCAAAACTTTACAATAATTGAATTTGAGGAAATATAATTAAGCAAAATTAAACATGCTGATAATTTTCTAAATGCACCAAATTACTGAACATAACATTAATTCATTCCAAATAGTAACACAAGGAAATTGAAGTACTTGATGAGCTTTTTCACCAAGTGTACTACATTTGAATTACAAGGAAAGAAAAGACTTAATAATAACAATGTCGTCCGTCATTTTTGGAGTATCAGACACAAGTGTGACTACATATTTTAGGGTACGAGGGACACTTAGTTACAAACTTCGCGAGCAATTCCAACGCGTGAATTAGCTGTGTCAAACATTAACCTAAGATTTTGTTGTTGCAAATTGGCTATCACATTCAACACTGAATTCACATTATTTGGTGCTGATGCAATAGCCAAACATGCTAAGGGAGTGGCACTACTATGTATCAATGTGTTCTCAATTGGCAATTTCAAGTCCATTCCTTCAAAGTGCAATGTTATAGTTGGTATCACAGCCTCATTTTGTGATACAAAACATGTATCAAATGCACCTAATGAGCTAAATGTACCATTCACTTGTTTCCTAAATTCATCCCTAATCGCCTCGTAAGCGGGTTGAACGAATCGGGTTATGACCGTACCCGAGTCAATTACCGTGCCCGCACCGGTGTTCGGGTCAAACGCAAGGTCTTCGGGTGCAATCGGGACTGAAACTCGTCCCACGCTTACACTTGTTAGGTTCACGTAGTACAGAGATGGTCTTCTCGGGTTTTTGAGTAATGGTGTGGTTTTAATGTTTTTGGGTTGGCCAACGGTTCCGAGCTTGAGTGATCCGGAGAAATAATAAGATTTAAAACTAGGTAAACAGTATGAGAATACGCCTGAATAAAGAGATCCGGATTGTGACATCAACGACATCGCCCCGCGGCCCAAGCCCAATAACCCTTGTGGCGGAATTGAGGACCCGGACACGGAACTTATGCACCCGAAAGCATAACTCGGAACAACGTCATTGGCTAGTCCAAGGGAGTCACGTGACAACGTGGCGTAAAAAGACGAATCTCCACCGTACGATTGGTTAAAGAAGCAGGCAGTACTTGACCCGACTACTGACCCAGTAGTCGGGCACGAGAGACTCCCTCGGACTTGAGTACATTCGGGTACGGAGCAGTCTACCGACCCGTAAGTAGTGGAAGTGGATGGGGCAAACAAAGTATTAGAAGAGCAACCAACACAACCACTACATGGTACAAATGCAGCATCATTACTTGTATCCAAAACCATGTACATTTGTTGACCCGGAGTACCCATCTTGACCCGAACCACATAGTTACCTACAACAATGTATAGCATAGATGATGTGAAGTACATGTACATTGAAAAACTCACATTTATACTTCCGGCGTATTTGTGACTCAATTTACGTGTCTTAATTTGATTCAGTATGAAATTTGAGTAGCATAGATTTTTCAATTTTGTCAGTACTAAAAGAAAGAAAATCCCGACGAAATCTTTTTTAATTTGATTAAATAATAAAACTTGTCGTTAATCTTATTTAGCAACATATTATCAAAAAATTATGTTAGCTATGAGCAATTTAGACAGATTAGAGGCGAAGTTCATAGATGATTATATTTGTAGTATATATTCTTAAACTAGAGATATGTATAATATAGGTAACTATTTTTTGAGTATCGTAATATGAAACATACAATATTAAATGTTGAAATTAAGGAATTACTGGATAATACAAAAATGATTAGCTTTTGAGAAACCAATAATGATTATCCACATAAGCACTTTTAAAATCTTGGTCAAGCACATATTATTTCTTCAATATATTACAAAAGTCTTCTCAATCTTATTAGTCAAACACAAATAATTACTTTCCAAACGTATTTTTCTAAAAAAATAAAATTTAAAAATAAAAATATTTTAAAATTTTGGCCAAACAAACTATAAACTATATCCTTTGAAAACACTATAAAAACTGATGTTTAATATTAGGTCTTGGAAAACGATTTGATAGATAAGTAATTTATGTTAAGTATAAGACATGGAAAAAAACTAATTATTTTTTCTTGATACGTTATAAGTGACCAGTAAAAATAAACCGAGCGAAAATATCATTATACCTATATTGAAGAGTTGTTGGCCTGAAGCAATGGGAACATTAGTAGGCTTTTTGGACACAACTAAACTTGATAAATAAGAGAGCCTTTGTGGATCTTTAGAGGCCATGTTGATAACAGTATTAATCCATGAAGAAGAAGGTTTTGGTGAGTTAAAAGGTGAACATTTTCCATAAATATGAATAACAGTTAGGTCTGAATTTCCTTTTTTGGAATTAAAAGCACAAGAATCATCATAAGCTAAAGTTTTTGTAGAAATAATTAGAAAAATGAAGAAGAAATAAGTAGCCATTATAAATTTTTGAAGACAATATGACAAATAGAGTGGTGAAATTAAACATGATATATATAGAAGATACAAAAAGGGTATGAAATTTTAGTGGAAAATTTTTAAATCAAAAGTAATTTTTTATGTGATTTTTTCTAATTTTTTAATTTTGGTGGGGGATAAATTTTAGGATAATTGTACAATATCTAGCTAGCTATGATCCAAAAAAAGGACTAAAGAGAAGTCAATATTTTGCAGCATAAACTAAAGTGATATCATTGTCCTAACTTGTTAAATTTTTCATGTTTTAATATCATTTTTTTTACTTTTGATTAACCCTTTTGCATAACTAAGAAAAAAAATTGAATTTGTTAAGTGAATATTATCATAGTAAATTAGTAATATGACTTCGAATTTTAAATATCATAATTGATTATATATCTATTATAGTTAATATATTAGCCAGAGATATAAAGGTGATAAAATTAGCCCATAAAATATAATCCATCCATCCTATTCAAGTTTGGGTTGATCGTTAATATTTTGTAAAAATTGACATGTTAAATTATGATCGAGCCAATAACTTGTTTCATTTATCAACTCAATCTATTTTGATCTGTTTAAATTTAATCTAACTCGCTAATTTGACACATATATCTAACAAGCCATTCTATAATTTAATTATTCACAAGCTTGACTCATGTTGAGTCATTCATGACGACCTAAGAAGTTATAGAAGATTTTTTTAAAAACTTTTCTGGATAGAAGAGTTTCAAGAGTTCTCTGAATTTATGGGATATGATTAATTTTAACATGTTTTAATAAATATCTCTTACGTTACGTTAGCTTTTAGCATTTTAGTAATCTATCCGGTTGATATCTATGTTGAAACCTTGATTAATTCTGATTTACGTCGTGTAAAATTTATATCATAGTCTAGTTCATTAGTGATACTATTCGGTTTGATTCTAGTCGGCCGTACAATTTAAAATGCGTCACTTGAGATCTAGTCTTATTTCTTATATATCCAACATCTCTTTCATATTATATCAACGTGAGATAATTCACCTAGAGTGTTACACCTTCCTCCCTCTTAGGGGCTCAACGTCCTCGCCCATATAGAGTTCGAGATTTCATTTGTAGTTACTCTAATATCATATGTTAATTCATTTCACCAGTGATATTGTTTACTTTAAACCTTAACCTAACGACTTTATTAAAACGTGATACAAAGTTCAATAATATGTCTTCTTATATATATCCACCGTCTCGATCTCCAAATTTTTTTCGACATGAAATTCGCCTAAAATGTTACGTATAGAATAATAGTTACAAAAAAGGTTGGAACTTGGAGGGACCAAGATTCAAATTAAAGAATAATAAGTAATGAATAGAAGAGTCTCTCGTGAAGCTTAATTGGAGTATAGTATATAGTTTTTTTTTGTCCAAATATAAGCCAAAAATCTTAATGCCCAAAATATGCGGTTCGTCACGGGTTCACTGCAGCATCATAATGTGCAAATTGTCAGACAATAATGCTTATGAAAGAGACTTTCATGAAGAGCAACAAAAATATATGGACCCCTCGATCGACACCAACGAGCTAGTAAAATTTCTTTATATTTCAAAATTTCATATTAATAATGGTGAATATGTCAAAATTATTAGCAAACGTAAATTAAAAAGCCGCTCAATACTAATGAGCTCGTAAAATGTATTTCAGAACGTCATAGTAATAATGGTGAATGTGTGAGATTATTAGCAAATATAAATTAAAAATCGTTCAATATCAACGAGCTAGTAAAATCTCTTTATGTTTCAGAACCTCATAGTAATAATAGTGAATGTATTAAATTATTAGCAAAAAGATAAAAGAAAGCCCACTCGACACCAATAAGCTAGTAAAATCTCTTTATGTTTCAGAATCTCGTAGTAACAATAATGAATGTGTTAAATTATTAGCATAAGTAAATTAAAAACCAGTATTTCATGGTGGATGTGTGTGTTTCAATTTCAGTGTAAACTATGGTACATTTGCAAAAGCAAATTTAAAACGTTACTTGTACATAAATATCACATGAACTAATTCTAAATTTACATATTTCTTGATAAATTAATTTTGATATATTATACATAATTGGAATGGTAGCTCTGCCGTGAAGCTACCTCTTGATTATATATATATTATTGGAATATAATTGCTGCATTAAATTTGTATTAAAG